ACATTCTCTTTCTGTTCAGATCTCAACCATCCCACCAATTCCGCTGACCTAGGTCACCACACGAGTGATTGCCCGGCGCAATCGCACCCCTTCGTACAAAGTGCTCAACACGGGGTGCTGCAACGTGCGCACATTACTCAACCGGTACTCCCTCGCCCCGCGCTACACACTGTACTAGTCGCGATGGAACTCACGCACTAGCGGATCGACATTCTCGCAAGAAGACTCGGTTCGTTGAGCAAGGGAAACAGAATGAGGCTGGTACTGGGTACAAGTTATACTGGCTGGGAAAGGACACCACAGCACCACGTGAACATGGGGTCGGATTTGTACTATCCGACCGCCTAAATGGACAGCTGGTGGCAGAGCCGGCTGACATCAGTCCACGACTAATGACCCTACGTCGACGACTTGGAGGAAGTAAATCTACCACCTCCTACCACGTATTATCCTGATGACACGAGAGATCAGTTTTAAGCCCAGTTATCCTCCGTGGTACGGTCTTGGCTGAGCAGCGACCGGCTATTCCTACTGGGTGGTTTCAACGAGTGACTTTGGCGTGATGCCGCGGTATGTTCAGATGTAATCGGTCCATATGGTACTGGCACATAAAGTGGGGACGGTGATCTGTCATTCCAACTGAGCCACTCGTGGCATGATGACCACGAACACTCGGTGTGCACTCGGTGAGGGGTATTGCTACTTAGCAGTACCCTCGGAGTGGTCACGCTCACCTACTAGACTGTCATAGTATGCCAGCGTGACATCCGTGGAGTGCGCATGACATGTGTACCGCGTAGAGTTGGGTGTGGCACTGCTCACAAGTTGGTGCAAACCAAACTGTAGACATATTTCGGTAAATCCATGTACTGCCCACCCATCGCAAATCAGAGGTGTAAAATTAATGATCTCTCCCCAGTTACCGTTGCGAACAGGATGGAACTGGAGAAGGCGATGGTTACGCGCCTTGGCGATGTCGATTACATCGCATCAGTCGGATGGTTGGGACACCACATCCGTGAACAGGTGGCGGATGCGGTCGAGGAAACAATGGGGTGAGATAACTGTAAGCGGCCCAATTGCTTCGAAGACAACAGTGTGACCACTGGTGCAGTGATGTCGGAGAACAATGCAGCATTCGCTGCACATGTGGCCAACCCTGCCAACTCGGAGAAGGAGAGACAGTTCCGTGACGGCAACTGACTCGAGAGCTTCGTCGCATAAGGGATGCGTGGTGGACGGAGAGGGCAGAGCAGATGGAATTCTACGCCGAACGCCGGCAACATAAGGAATTCTATGGATCACTGAAGGAAGTGTATGGACCCACGCTGCAGCCAATGAGGGCACTGGTGGATGCTAACTCAGGCGCAGTCTGCAAAGACTGGAGACATAATGCAAGTCTGGCGAATGCATTTCGACTGTCTTGAACAACCGTTCAGCGATTGACTGGGCTACAATACACGGGCTACAACAAGAAATGAGGATCTGGCCGGCACACTAACAATGGATGAGACACAGAGAGCACTTTCTCAGCTGCGAAACGGCAAGTGCCCCGCAGCCTACGGAATACCGCCAGAAGTGTTCAAACACGGCGGTCTCGCGTTACTACATGCGGCGCACCACTTGATAAAACACGTGTAGCTTGAGGATGAAGTGCCGGCTAACTTGAAGGATGCTCTTGCGCCACACTGTAAAGGCCAAAGGGAGCAAGCAATGTGCAATGTGCTATCAACTTGCTGAGCCATGTTGATAAAGTGATTGCACGAATCCAACCCAACCGCCTCACCACCAAAGTCGTTGAACCGAAGGTGTCGGAAGAGCAACGGGGATTCCGTTCGGGCCACAGCACCATACATATGATGTTCGCGGCTCGTAAGTTGCAGGAGAAATGCCTAGAAGGACACCCGATATTGCACTCGTTGTTTGTAGACTTCATTAAGACATTTGACACGGTAAAACGTGAAGTACTGAGGCTGGCGTTTGGTAAGTTAGGTTTTCCGATTAAATCTGTAGGTTTAACTGAATGTCTGCACGGTGGTATGCGGGTGACGTTGCAGCTGAGTGGACAAATCTAGGATGACTGCTTTTGTCTAGGGTGTGAAGCAAGGCTGTGAAATAGCTCCTGCCCTGTTTAATGGTTACATTCTTGCAATGTCTTTTACGTTTGATTCAGTTTATGATTACGGTATCCGTGTGGAGCACCCTATTGATAGTGGGTTGCTGAACATTCGTCGTTTCGGAGTGAGAACCCTATTGTGTAAGACAATCATCCGTATACTGTTGTTTGCTGACGACTGTGCATTGTCTGCACACAACACGGATGAGTTGCAGTGCATGACTTCGGCTCTCGCTTTGACAGCCGCCAAATTCGACCTTATCATCAACACAAGTAAGACTGTTTGTCTTTTCCGACCATAACCAGGAATTCGTGGGCCTGTCCTAAATTCAGATTGCTAATGACGTGTTGGAGATAGTATCGAAAGTCTGCTATCTTGGGTGCGTAATAGTCACCGATTTGCAGATGACGAGCGGGCTGCGCATCCACGTATCGAAGGCTGTTGCTTCGTAGGGCAAACTGGAGAAACGTGTGTGGAACAATCACCAGCTTACCGTTGGAAGGAAGCTGATGGTATACAAGTCCATTTCGCTGCCCGTTCTATAGGCAGCGAAAAATGGACGATGTACCGAAAGGACGTCAGATACCTGGAGCGGTTTCGTTAATAACGCCTGCGTCGGTTCTACGCATCGTTTGGTGCGACAGTGTTGAAGACACGGAAGTGCTGCACCGCAATGGCATGTATGGAGTGGACCGCATACTTCTGCTGCAGCACCTGAAGTGCTTGAGGCTCATTAGCAGTACGAATTTGAGGAAGATACCCAAACATCTGTTGTATGGAGAACTTAGCAAAGGGAAGCGGAACATGGAAAAGCGAGACTAAGTTACCAGGACAAAATCAAGGTGAGTTTATCACGAAGTAATATGGATTTCAGATTTTGGGAATCAAAGGCAGTTTATCGGCGCGAATGGTGCGAACTTATCACTAATGCATGCGGAAGAGAAACGCCGAATACAGAAGCGACAGGCTCTGATGGAGTCTAGCCCCTCGACGTCGAGCGCATGGTGTTGTAGCACATACGATCGCGAATGCCTCAGGGAGGCTTGCTTGTTAAGCCACCAGAGTCGCTACGCGGGGCCAGCATCTGAAAGACGACCAGTTAGTTAAATAGGCAATCATCAGCACAGCGCTTGGCAAGTACGCTGATTTCGATTCAATTTACTAACCTAGGTAAATAATGCGGCCGCAGTGATACGTGAGCTACATTATCGCTGCAAGTGATCTGTACGTGTACTTGTGTGTTTAATTTCTTGTATTCCACATGCTGATTGTTGATTGATATCGCTGGTGGCGCTGCTTTATGTGAATGTTGGTAAGGTGCCTAACTGTTTAACACTCTCCACTTCTATTACTGACTCCGGAAGACTGTGAATCGTTGCTGCGGTGAAGGGGTGTACGGTTCTCGTGACCGTGTTACGCTCAAAGAGTGCTTTCATCCAGTGTGGAGCGGACTAGGACCTAGCCACTGCCTTGTATTCGTCTGGTACGCATTATTCCCTGATTAGATAGACAGGAAAGCTGCTGCTGCACTTGTTGAAGTAAGGTAGGCCGGCTCCGTTGATGAAAATTGGCTCTGTTCCAATGCCTCGCGGTCTTATTCCATCGGGTTTACACCGGATAAGGGGTGTGTGAATGGAGTTGTGGTTGGTGCAGCGCAAACCCCCTATGGTTCCTCTGCAGGCACAAACGTGCTGTGGCTGTCCTCGTGGAGGCCACAGTGACAGACACATTCGGATGCCGCCAACATGTTAGGCACCTGCGATCACGACCAGCCGCATATGGGAGTTCACGGGTTTGCACTAATTTGACCAGGGGCTGCTTGGCTTCAAACGGGTCGTAGCAAACCATTGAAGACCGGAAGGTGCCTTCCCACGCTGACCCGTAGCTTAGAGGTAACGAGCCTGTCTAGTAATTTTGCGGCGCGGGTTCGAGCCTCGTAGCATCCTAACCCACGTGCGACCGGTGGTAGTTGTGTGGCAGCGAAGCTTCGGTACTGCGTACCGGCGTACTGCTGATGCGTCTTTCTTTCTTCTTGTTTCTGCCCTCTCACCGTCAGAGACTGCGTGGCACTCGTGCTCTATGCCAATCGAGTTGTGAGCTCATAATCAGTAGACTCTCATGGCTAGGTTTTAAAGTAAGATGGCCATCGACCCCTCCCTAACCTCAGAGCAGGATTGTGAGGCTGAGTAAGTCTTATCCCTAGCCATTGACCTGTCTGATATAAATGGCTCTGAAGGCACTTGAAAAGTGCCATCCAAAGTAGCTCAATACGTTACGAAGGTACGACGTTAAGATCCAGTCTCATTGCGATGGGAGTCTCGTCGACATCAAATCTGCGATTGCGCGTCGCTAACACAAGGATCTAGGTGTCAGTATGCGAGTTGCTATATTGTTAGAGTAACAAAAGCAATTTGGGAGAATGACTGGAGTCCTAAACCAAAGCTTGGTGTATAAAAGCGTAACCTAGGCCGCAGGAAATGGGCGATAAGCTACCAGCTGGACTACCTTTCAATGACTTAGCGCCACTCAAAGTTCAGTTTGCAGCACAGAGTACTAAGAGATCGAGTTAATCTGACCTGTAGGCAATCGTCAGCTTAATAAAAGTAGCTCATATATAATCCAAGAACGCCAACCGGCAGAGTAAAAAAGAGAAAAGCAACGCACACTGTGGCACCATGTCAAGCCCCATGGCTTATTGCGACAACCATGCACCCCGTGAGTAGCGCGAAAACAGCTCTTACTTTACAATCCTATGACGCTTTTTATTATTTCAACTGATAACTGGTACTTGCAAATCCCGTGACAGGAACGGTAGTCGCAAGCACAGGAGTAGATGAGGTAGACTATCATGTTCGAAAACAAGGGAAAAATACCGTAGCTCACTTCTAGGTGATTCGGAACTCCCCGCCGCTTAAAATGATGCAAAAGGTCGTTGAGCAGGTAAATCAGATGGAGACGTAAATCGAAGGACACGTTGTGAACAGCAGCGCGGGCCAAGAGGTAATCAGCCAAGAGTTCCGCTGACTCCACAGACTCAGAACCTTTTTCAATCACCCACGTTTTACCCCTAGATATATTTTCTTTCGTGCATGAATCGATGAGGGGCTGAATGACCTGTTGAACAAAATGGACATGAAGTAAAGTAAACGAATGTGGAAATCAAGTCTCTGGAATTACGCTAATGGAACATGGTTAAGAATGCTGTTTTGAACAGTTAGTTTAACCGAGTTCCCTGAAAAATGGCAATTTGCCAATGGATTTGAAAAGCTAACAGTAGAAAGTAAGTGAAATGCAATGGAGAAAGAAGGGGAACAAAAATGGAACAATTGCGTTCCCTCTGGTTTCTGTTTGCACTGCAAGTAAGAGTTGCACATGTTGCATTCTGATGGCTAGTATCACAAGTAGTACGCAAAAGTGCCGAATAAAGATGTCTTTAGACAGAAAATGAAAAAAGGACGAACGAGTGCATTGGTGTCCGAAAAACCTCACCTCATCTAACTGCTCAATCCGCAGGTTCAACCGAGTACAGCGTTCTTTGACAGAGTTTAAAAGGGCATGGTCCATGAATTCAGCAATTTCGTTGGCCTGTCGAGCCATAAGAACATCATGCTGTGCTTTCAAGTTCCTTTCACTCTGCTCCACATCCGCCTCGCTGAATTCAGGTACACTGTCATGAGGAGCAGAATTCCCTGGTGGCTGACAATCACCGAAGTTTCCTCCCTGGAGAGAAAATCTGGGTGGCGGAAAGGGGCCACCTTGGTTATTTGGACCCTGATAGGTATAAGATTGTGGGACGCCATATCCTCGACCCCGAAAACCATCATTTACTGATAGGTTCGGTGGATGTGGGCCGAATCCGGGGGGTATAGTTGGCGCGCGCGGAGCCCCAGGGAAGGATGGACCACCTGGCCAGGTCGGTGGCATATACCAAGGGGCTTCTGGATCCCTATTCCAAGGGCATGGACCTGACATCGAATACGGTTGAGGATAATCGACTTCGGCACCACCGCCATAAGCTTCCCAGTGAAAATCTCCGGAATCATAAGGAGGTCCAGTCCACTGAAATCCGCCATCGAAGCTCTGTATAGAGTTTACAAAAGTATGATGTACGATCTTAATAGGCATCAGCAGTGCGAATAACTGACCAACTACAATCACATCATCATCATTATACACATTAGCTAGTGGGAAACACCTCAGCTACTGTGCCGCAATACAGAAAAGAAAAAAGAAAATAAATGCAACAGTTGCATGCCAGCTGTGCGACCAGCAACGGATAGGCATCGTTCCGGTAAGCTACCAGCCGGCCACTAGGAAACAAAAAAATTGTAGTATGCAACGAACTGAGATGGTGGTTGGAGGAGAGGGACAAAGAAACTCACAGCGGGAACGCCACTGAGGTCGGCTTCTAGTCATGCCGGGAGGCCCCAACCGAGGCTAACGACGAACTAAGGGCCTTCATTCCTCTTGACCAATTCATCGCATGGTCACCTCTCTTCTTCTTCCTACCACACCCCCGGCGCGAAAGCAACGCACCTCGCGGAAGCCGGTGGGTTGGTATGCGTAACACGTGGCTAAGCCATCGGAGCCTGGTGCGTGAAATAACGGTGCTGAGCGGTTCATTTCCTCTTCTTATGCTATAAACAAGGCGTCGAACACACTCATTGTTCACCCGGTGTTCCCACCAGATACGAACTAAACTGCAAAGGCACCAGTGGTCAAAAGTAATGTAATGATGGTGTAATGATGATGACTCCGTTGGGCAGTGACAATTGATGTTAAAATTCAAACCGACCGTGATGATTTTGGAACTGCGAATACAGTTAACGATCAAGCATTTTTGCAGTCCAACAAATAAACAACAAAGGAATGATGGCCTACATGCGGCTATGTGAGGAAGCAAAGACAATCGAGTGCTTCAGAATGCTCTATATTCTCGCAGACGTGCGCCAACTATGGCTGATGTCGCTATAGTCAAGTTAGGTCTAAAGAAGTCGGCCGTTCGGTTGGTTACCATCCAAGTATTTGGGCTAGAAAGCTGAGCCGTCGAACAGGATGTCGGCAATTGCACGTAGCTAAAAGGTGGTCGCCATTATTACGACCTCAAGATGACTATCGAGACGATAGTATGATAACAAAACACAACCGACGTGAGCACTCACAGCTCCCGTAATCAACATCATACCGGTACATCATTATCCTCATCATCATCAACAGCAATACCTCAGTCAGAAGATATCAGTGTCTTCAGATGAGCTGAAGAAGGATGCGACTTTGGGAGGAAATGACTTAATATACACCAAATTGCCGCGAAAAACAAACTGGCAACCTGCCACTGCAATTCGTCTCTCTGGAAACCAAAACGACGTCCAACTTAAAGACGGCCAGCTTATTCGTCGGCATTCAAACCACGCTCGTCCACGGAGTTCAAATACACCGAACGAGGCGCAGACCGAGTTATACGTAGACAAAGAACTAGGCACTGAGGACAAACAGTACGGACAGGTTAGCGAAACGCTGCAGAGGCGATCGAGCCGCAGTGCAAATCCAGTGAATCGTTTTCAGCCGGTACTGTGATGACATCTATGGGGGTGAGGAATGTCATATGCACACTGAAAGTTAGACCCAAATTCGCCCAGCTGGATGGACACTACACATTCATGCAAGCATGCAAACACACCAATTTCATCGTGTCGCCAGTGAATGCATGTCGAGATGTCCTATCAAATGTTGATTACAGTGCTCTATCGAGTCTTGTTATCCTTCCCTAGGATTCCGAGCCCTAAAGAGCATATGCTCTCTATCGTTTACTTACTGTGACGAATAGGTATCGGTTCTCACCTAAAAACTTTGGCTCAAAAGCCTGTCCGCAAGAGCGGGGAGGTGGTTTAACATATATCGACACTATCCCGTACACAGCCCCAAAGTTGGAGGACCAGGAGACTGAGTTCGTCTTACCTCTAACCATTGATCAACCTGATCAGAGCTGCCCTTAATGGGCCCAGGGGCACCACTCAGTATAGCTCAAGGGGCCGAAGAGGTGGATAAACCGTCGCACCACTTTGAGAGCTAATTGTAGAAGTTAGCTTTTAGGCAACACTATGTAGGAGCACACGTCACTGCAAGAAGGTGCACAGCCTTCAAGCACTTCTCCGCAGCACAGACATTACAAGTTAAACTGCACACACACGAATCCATCCAAGAAAAGTGGCATTCGCAACTCCGGTGAAAGTGACTAGGATATAGCAAATAAAGTGAAGCAGTAAATCCGCATCACTGAAAACGCTGTCAATGAAACCCAAGTCAGATAATCACAGATGAATCAAAACGTCAAACGTTTGCATGCACGTTCCTGAAATACAACATGCCCACTCCGATGGAAAATGAAGGCATATTCTGTCATTAATTGGCCGATATAACACTGTATATGAGATTTAGAAATTTCAGTGTTGATCGGTACCATGAACGACGACCCGACTCCATTGTTAATGTGGACGATGGAGTCAGTAGTGGTGTTCTGCTAGTCAGTGTGTGCGGATAACGGATGAGAAAGGAAAAGGATAAGAAAAAGCTTAAGTAATTGTGTTTGTAGGCAGAGAACAATCGCCGATTGTCCATTCCAAGGAAATGATTTAGGATGAGCTTTCTCACCTCGAGCCCTAGCTCGAGTTTGAAACAGGTTTGCGTGAGGGACGACACTCGGAGCATTCGACTCAAAAGTACTACCAGCGTGGCAGCGAGCAATCAAGGTTCAACAGTGCAAGTTTAAGGGAATATCCATGGTGCCTTATTCCAAATGATATGTGATTGATACGCTGGAACTTTTATTTATTAGGACAGCAGATCCCACAGCTGGTGGCGCATCTAAATGCTGCATATATCAACTGGAGTGTCTCTTGCTAAGCTGGACCGCGGAACCGCCTCCCGTATTTGGATGGTTCTCATCAACCACAGAGAAAACGGACAAGTCAAAATGTCAGCCTACGGAGAAGCAACGTGGACCGGACAGTGCCTGCGTTCCACCAGCTTCGAACTAATGCGATGCAGGCGGACTTTATCTAGTTGTACCAGGCGAATATGCTCGACTGATTGTCTGGACAACGAACTGTAACTGATTACTGGTACATTACTTGCAAATGGATACCCTACGTTGGAAGATCTAATGCTCACTATGCCTATAAACATATTCTTGGAGCTTCTCTTTAAGAGTGACGTTGTTATACTGAAAACTATCAGGCTGCTGGTGCAAGGCATGTAGAACAACTTCTGTGATGCCAGTCATCATTATCGATCGAACCCATAGGATGCGACTGCCTCTACTGAAGGAAACCTGGTCTATCGGGGCCGACTCCCGTTGAGTATACCAATTCGCATGTAACTACGGAGCTAATCACATTGACAGAACCGATAGGACCCTGAGTTCCCGGAAGAAGATGCGGGTTCTAAAGTGGATTCAATACGATACAGTAAAACAGGCATGCTTAGCTCAGGCTACGCGTTCACATAGACTGCCGGTATATTCGATCTGCAGATATTTAGTGACCTGGCGTCACCGGATCGAGGTCAGCACATCATTCAAAGTCCTGTTACAGCTTACCGATTCCCGTCGCCTCGGTTTCGCCGAAGCTTTTCGCAAAAAGCCGGATCAAACCGGCGAATGGCGTCGACCCGCCTCAGGTTGCCAACGGAAGTATTAACGATATTTTTGTCTTTCCCTTTTGTTTGGCTGTAATTTTGCACCACCTAACATTTGCATTTAATTTCCTTATGTCGTTATAGACACTGAAGAGGCGATAGGAAATGCACTCATATAACGAACTTCGTCTCCGTGCTTGTCAAATTACCAATCAGTCAACCAACCGCGTAGCATTCCGGTCGACATTAGTGTCCGGTGACAGTCCGATTGACGCGCGATGAGCACAGGACAGGCGTCCGACAAGCAGCTGATGTGACTACCGACCAGATAATTTTCGGGCGCAAATCGGGCACTCGAAAACAGATCGGGAAATGCAAGCAAACCAGTGTGAATGGCAGCAACCATGCATACCATGTTGTGTACGTGCAAACACCCAAACTTGCGTTACTAGGCGTGGCGTAATAGTGCAGAAACGACGAGGTAGAAAATACAAGTGGGGTTACATTGAAAGGTTGAAAAAGTACGCAATTACTTGTTAAAGGAAAAAGTAGCTAGTAGCTGCTATGATATTTAGGCCACTTTGATTCATGTTTTGGCTTATTTATTACCGAAATGTGTTGTCCGATTTGAGTCAAGTCCTGAACTCCTAAGTGTCCGATGGTGTCGAGATGGATGACATTCACTGTAAAATACGCAAATCTGTGGTGATAAGATGTGAGAAGGAACTGCGGCACATAACATTTCTGTTTGTATTGATAACAAGTGCAACAGAGTTTCATCAATCCAACGAGTAATAGGAAAAAAGTCACAGTGGGAAGACGTTTTAGCGCATCTAGGGTACCAGAGACAAGCTGGGCTATGCTTGATTGGGACGTTCTTGTCTAGTGAGAGCGTACCACGGACAGGCCGGGTAGACAGGCTGCAACACGTTTCCAAGCTAAGCGTAAAAGTGAGTTACACATTTTGGAAACCAGCAGCGCCTTTCGAAAAGCAAAAATAAAAACAAAAGTATAACTGTGTTCTTAGCTAATCATGGTTCCCTATGTTTGATGGGAGGATAAAAATGAAGACATACTTGAGACTGACCATCTTTATACGGTCTATCTGCCTGCCACTGCTTACGAGCGTCCTCAACTTTAAAATTGTAGTAATCGAAATACTCTCCACCGTGCAGGAAGGCAAACTTTGGATTACCACGCTGTTTATCCCTTGTCAGAGCCTCAAATTCCTTCCCATTGCGAGCGACAAAGTCCGCCAACTTGTCGATTATGTTACGTTGCTCGGGATCGTTAGGAGGTGCTGGGATGTTCATCCGTGCTACAAAAGAGTAGGCATCAGATAAAAATTGATTCAAATCTAGGAAAATCAGAACGCAACTCAAAGCAAAGTGTAGTAGCGTAGGAAAGACAGTGGAAGAGAATCGACCTGCCGAGTTGAATGGTTGCGCAGTATTCAGGGTCAAGGCGTACATTGAATCGTTGAAGAAGAAGCGGAAGGTGGAACTCTTGTCAGCTTCCTCGCATCCCAATCCGAGCAAGGACGATGCGTGACGCTGAGAAACCTCATTCATAGTGAAAGCAAGACAATCCCGGCATACGCAACAAATGGAGGTCCAACAGTCTCCTAAACCTTTCCTCACTGGATGAGTTGACGATAGGCTCTGGCAGAGTTCCAACCGTTCACCACCCGAGTGGATAGTGATCTCCGGACGTACATGGGACACGGCTTAAACAGTTTCCAATTGTGTCCGGTGTCGAGCTTTCAGCGTTCAACTGGATGAGTTGTTGCAACTCGGTCCCCCATTCTCCCCTAAGAATACGCCTGGTGTAAATCAGGTCTTCGTTGGCGACGACGACAATCCAAAGAACAGGTGAATCTGTTGTAGACGAGCAGGGAAGAATATGTCACGTAACGCCGAGACCGATTTCGGACCACGCCTCTGTATTCTTTCAATGATGCATTCAAACCTCGTGATGGGGTAAACAGCCGGTAAGCCATACTCAAAAACAGGCCCCACATGCGATACAAACAGGAGTTTGAATACTGAATACTGGTTCGAAGCAGCGAGTAGAGCTTTCTCTTTGTACCTGTATCATTCGTCGCTCTTGAACATATAGTCCTTATTTATCGTTCCGCTCTCTATATTTTGCCTCTGCAATCATCATCATCACTATACACGTCAGCTAGAGATGGGAAAACACCTCCGCTATTGAGCCGCAATACATGAAGGAAATACATACATGCAGACATATAATACAATACACAAAGGAAAAATAGGTACAACAGTTGCATGCCAGCTGAGCTACCAGCAACGGATAGGCATCGTTCTGGTAAGCTTCCAGCCAGCTACTAGGCAAAAAATTATTGTTTTACCCTACGAAATGAGATTGTAGATGGTGGGGGAGGCTAAAGGGCATTGGGGGGACAAAGAAACTCACAGCACAAACGCCACTGAGGCCGGCTCCTTGCCATGTCAGCAAGTGTATCCAGCCAAACGTGTTCACCATCTTCTGGACCCCAACCAGGGAGCCGTGACGCTCCAACCAAGGCTAGCTCCGAAGCGAGGGCCTTCATTTTCCTGAACCAAGTCATCGCTTGGCCATCCCTCCTCTTCTTCCACCCACATCCCCGGTGAGCAAACAACGCACGTCGAGGGAGTCGGTGGGCTAGCATGCGCAACACGTGGCCCAGCCATCGGAGCCTGGTGCGGGAAATAACGTGCTGAGCGGTTCAGATCCTTTTCCTGGGCCGTAAACAATGCGTCGAACACGCTGGTTGCTCACGCGATGTTCCCACCAGATGTGAGCCAAACTGCGAAGGCACAGATGGTTGAACGTAAGTAGCCTCTTCACGTCCGCCGACCTTAGGGGCCAGGTTTCGCAACCGCACAGTAAGGTCGAACGTACCGCTGCATTGTACACTCTACCCTTCAGGGCAAGAGTGATGTCGCGCCGCCGCCATAGGTGGCGAAGGTTAGTAAAAGCACTTCGAGCTTTCGCTATACGGTTCGTGATCTCGTCTTCGATCCCAAGGGCGCTGATACAACTTCCCAGGTAATTGAATTTCTGAACGACTTCTAGCTGATCCTCACCAAGGGTCAGCGAAGGAGGCGAACCCTGCCAATCTTGGAGGAATGCTCTGCACTTCGATGGTGCAAAGCAAAGCCCGAAGCGACTGACAGCCAGTGCTAATCTGTCCAGCGCGGCTTGACATGTCTCGGAGCTGTCACAGATGAGGGCAATGTCGTCTGCATACTCTAAGTCAAGAAGTCGTTCTCCTGGGAGTAGCTCCACACCTTCCAAGTCATGTCCTGTAAATGCAATCTCCATGACTTCGTCAATAGCGAAGTTGAAGAGGAAAGGTGACAGCGGGCATCCTTGTCTCACACCGCTGGAGATATTGAAGGGTGGCGACAGCTTGCCGCAAGCCCTCACTCTGCCCGTGCTACGCAAATATAATGCTTGGATAATATTTACATATTTCTCGGGCACACCTTTCCTGAGTAGACAATTCCAAAGGGCACATCGATCAACCGAATCGAAGGCACCTTTGATGTCGAGGAACACGACTACGGTGGGCCGCCAATATGTGTGACGGTGCTCCAACAACTGACGCAAGGTGAAGATGTGGTCGATGCAGCCACGACCCCGACGAAACCCAGCTTGCTCCTCACGAATCTGGCTTTCACGAGCGCAGTCAGTCTGTGAAGAATTATGGAGGCGAGTAATTTGGAGGCGATGGAGATCAGACTGATTCCTCTATGGTTGCCGCATTCCGAGCGCGAGCCGCCTTTGAAGATGGGAACAATAACGGAGCGGCTCCAGTCGGTTGGGACAGTTTCCTGCTCCCACAGTTTCACTAGTAATTCATGTAAAGCATCAACAAGAGCAGAGCCTCCGAATTTGAAGAGGGCTGGAGGAAGATCATCTGGTCCCGCGGCTTTGTTCAATTTCAACCGTCCGATCTCACGTTCGACTTCTGAGCAAGAGGGTAGATCAAAACGGACAGCCCACGGAGCGAAGAATCGAACAATTCTAGCCGATTAAATTGCTTTTCAAAATGCTCAGCCCAACACTCCGAACGTTTTGACAAATTATGGATAGGCTGTCCACTCTAATCACAAATTGTTTCACTAACACCAGGTCTCCTGCTGCCCGGTTCCCGTATCAGACGGAATAACTTACGATGGTTGCCAAGGGCAGCGGCCACTTCCATCTCTGACGCACGATGAGACCACCAAGATTCGCGGTCTCTCTTCAGGCTAGCGCGGAGTTTTGCCCGGAGCTCTTTGCGAGTTTCATTGTGCTCGCTTCCAGCCGCGATATGCGGGAGAGCGTCGATAAGTTCCAGAGACTGCGAAGAGACCCAATGTCCATGTTGGCTATTAGACATACCACATGAGGATTTGCCTGCTGCTAGTAAGGTCTGGCGAACATGTGACCAGTGACCATCAATTGCCTCTAGTGAGCGATTACTCAACTCGCATGTCAGCGTACTTCGATACGCATTCAGAACAGCTGGTTTTGTCAGTTGGTTGGTGTCAATGCGCTCACAGCGTCGTCGTGGGCGTCCGCCAAAACGCATCCGCATGTCAGCACATACAAGTGCATGATCGGTGTCCACACATGTGCTCCAAATCGAGCGACAATTCTGGATGCAGCCTCTCCAGCGGTAACTAATAGCAATTTGATCGATCTGCGTCCAAGGCTGGTTCGAGGCTGGTGGGCGCCAAGTCACCCTCCGGCGGGTGCTGTGTCGGAAATTAGTGCTCGCAAGAAATAAGCGAGCATCTTCACACAAATGAAGTAACCGCTCACCGTTATCATTACGGGAGCCTACACCGTGTTGACCGCCCAGATGCATTTCATCAGTGGACAACTTTCCAACTTGTGCGTTCATATCCCCCGCCAGCACAACAGTGTCCGTGCTTCTTCTGGGGCGAAGGAGCTGAGTCAGTTGGCGGTAGAAGTCGTTCTTTACCGAATCATCGCTACAGTTTGTGGGCGCGTAGGCAGCGATGATGAATAGACACCTATTAGTCCCGCGCGACTTCGAAGCTTTAAACGAGCTAGCCAATCGGACCGCACACATCCGGCTACTGATTGGAATCCAATCAACCAGAGCAGCTTCAGCCCGGGGACTCAGGGCAATGCCAACACCAGCTTGGCCGGTGGTCGAAGATGCGTCGTCACCGGATAGGCGCAAGGAGAAAATACTGCTTGCGTCACCTGAAGGGGGTCGCAGAGTGAGCACAGAGCTCGAGTCTTGCAGGCGGGTCTCTGATAAGCAGCAGATATCGACCGAGAAGGTCTCCAATGTTCGGGCAAGTGCTGCCTGTTGACCGATCTGTAGTAGTGTGCGTACATTGAGGCATGCCAATCTTAAGGAGGATCGAGGGCTCCAAATGGAAGCCGATGAACTGGAATAGACCGCTTGGTTGGACATGGGCTTGTCGACAGGAGAGGAGTGACGCTCCGCGTTCACGTGTGAGTTGAAATTAGAAGGTGAATGCCTAACAAAGCATGTTGGGGGAGGGCCAAGAATCGGGGGGTTGAAAACTGGGGGGATATAAGTAAAGTTGGAAGGGGACGGTAAGAGTGAAAAAGCTTAAGATGGGGAATAAGAAGACGGAAAGGCTTGAGCAGTAGCATCCAAACCCCTATCCACCCTGCTCGATGCAGCAGATAGGGCACCGTTGATTATCCTCTGCGGTGGCCAGAGCATCAGCAATTTGTTTGAGGTACGATTCATGGTATTGCGTGGGCGGGATACTGTCAGGTTGCTCAGGCCTAGACAAGAGAACGATTAGGGTTCTCAACCAAAGCCTTTGGTTCAAAAACCTGACAGTAAGGCAGCGGGTTTGGCGCTGGGCTACAAGGAGTCCGATTTAAGGAATAAGGTGCCACCCTCATTCCAACCCCCAATCTGGAGGACCAGGATGCTGAGTTTGTCTGGCCTCTAACCATTGACCAATCTGGTATGAGTGACTCTGAAGGTGCAAAAGCACCACCCAGCATAGCTCAATGGATCGCTGAGGCACACAAACCATCGCACCACGGTAAGGTCCAGCCTCATTGCGATGGTTGCCTCTGCAGTGTTTGTCTAGGAGCTTCTTAAATTCGGACACTGAGTTCGCCTCTACTATGTGCTGCGGCAGGTCGTTCCAGACATTCACCACTCTGCGTTCAAAACAAAGGTGGTGAGCGACCCGCTTTAACTTCGGTACGATAAGTTTATACCGGTGTCCTCGCGTGCAGCTTGGTGTGCGCAGATGAAGCAGTTGTCTCAACATGGGGTAATCACTCAGATGTAATATCC